CAGTTATTTTTTTACCATTTGCTATTTCGTTCAAGTCCAAGAGTGACCACACCTTTAGGGTTTTATCTTCGTAACTTGCCGCTAAATATTGACCACACCCACTGAACTGAAGAGTGACGACAGGAGAGGAAAAAGATGAAAGTCGATCAAAAGAAAAATGTGAATGTTGACCAATTTCATTATTTTTCAAGGCACTAAATTTGTAATAAAATTTAATTATTGTTTAATATAAATTGTACCTGTTTTCTTTACAACCAAAGTATAAGGTGCTGCCTACAGCAATGGATAACACGGTATTGGAGGATCCTATTCTTTCCAATGGAGTTTTACAGAGCTTTAGCATGTCTAGCTAAAAAAATTAAAATGCTGAAAATTGTAAAAAATTAATTTTTATTATAATTTTTAACCCCATCAGTTATTAAAACCAGTTATTAAAAATATCAATAGTTATTAATAGTTATAACTAGTTATTAATTTTTAAATGGCTGCTGAAGGTGGTAAAGAAAGGTACAAGTTTTCTGCGAAGTCCTTCCAGAAGTCTTCCTATGAGAGTAAGCGAGCTCCTTTCTCTGTTTTATAATTATTGATTGGAATAGAGGAACTATTCGAGCTAGTGGAACTAAGTGAAGTGCCTTTAGATCATGATTTATTCAAAGTTGTAAGCATCATATAAATATTTTAAAATACTTTTCTCACCTGTTCACTGGCTAGATACTGGAACTGCTGAAAGAGAACGTTGCTCCCAGTGCTATTGTGCATGTACTGAAAGCTTTGAGGTAAAGCAACACCTCCTGTTTTACATGATAAGCAACTCTAATGATCCAATGGAATATTACTGGTATATTTTACATTGTTGTTTAGGTCAGCAAGTGAGAGTTCTGCCCACTTGGAAGGCAGTACCGATCAGCAAAGAACTGGTCATTCAACAGGAGCTACACCTGATATTAATAACTAAAATAATTAATAATTTGATATTTTTAAGCAGCTGTATTTTGCATCACTAGTCCCTCTCTCCCTCCACAATCGCTCTTTGTCTATTATTATTATTATTATTTATTAATAATTATTATAATTTAAATAATTGATCAGAAAGGAATTAAAAACATCAATATTATACATAAGTGATTTGCGATGATAAAATCAAAAATGATAAATCATGATGAGATTAAAACAAAGATTAACACCTATCAATGAACAATAACTAGTTTGAAATTTTCTTGCTGCCCGACTTGTAGCAAGGACACAGCTGGTCTTTGCTAAGTGTAAGGAAAACAAGAACAGAATAGCAGAGGACAGAACTAATGACCAGACATAGCATAATCCAA